TAAACTTTATTAAGACTGCTTTCTTTCATGATTATATGAAGAACAAGAAATCAACAGTCTTCATAACTAGTCTATATGAAATTGATAAACAGCTTGAGAAGAAGTGAGGTTTAGTGAGAGCTGAGAATGAGTCTGATGAGAAGCTGATCAGCAACTTATCAGAATGATTGAAAAACTAAGAGAACTGTTTCTCAAAGAAAGTATCAGATGAACTGCCCTCTCTATGAAAGAATGTTGATTTTAAAATAGAGCTTCAGTCTGATGTTGACCTCACCTAGAGCATTAGACATGCATCTCTATATAAGATGAATCTAGAGGAACTAGAGGCAGTGAAGATCTATCTTGAAGTTAACCTAGTAAAAAACTTTATCATTTCAAGTTTAACCTTCTACACCTCCTCAATTCTGATTATCTACAGCGGGAAGAAGTTATGATTCTGTGTCAACTTTCATAAGCTGAATGTTATAATCAAATGAGATCAGTATCTTTTGCCTCTAATAGATGAGCTGATAGACCAACTCAATGAGATGAAATACTTTACAAAGCTAGATATTTGACAGAAGTTTCATTGCATTTGAATGAACTCTGAGTCTGAGGATCTGACCATCTTTAGAACCTGCTACAGAATCTATAAATATTAGGTGATACTCTTTGATCTTATAAATATCTATGTCTGCTTTCAACAGTTTATTAACAGTATCTTCTTTGACTATCTGGATAAGTTTATGACAGCATTCATGAATGATCTTCTAGTCTATAGCAAGAATCTGAAGGAGCACAAGCAGTAGATAAACTCAGTGCTAGACTGACTAAAGACAGCTGATTTGCAAGTTAACATTCAGAAATGTGAGTTTATGATCCAGAGAACAGAATATCTAGAGTTCATCATCAGTACAGAAGAGATTGAGGTAGATTCAGAGAAGATAACTGTTATTATAAAATAGCAGACTCTCATCACAGTCAAAGAAATTCAGTCATTTCTAGAATTTGGCAATTTTCACTGATAATTCATAAGAAACTACAGCTGAATTACAAAATCACTGTACCAGTTGATGAAGAAGACTACCTCATTTGTGTAGATATCAAAATGCAAATCAGTCTTTGAAAAACTGAAGAGGCAGCTGGTGAAGGCTTCAATACTGCATTACTATGACTCTGAGCAGAAGACTTATATTGAAATTGACATCTCTGATGAAGTAGTGGCTGAGGTACTAAGTTAAAGATTTGAAAATAATATTTGACACTCAGTAGCCTTCTATTCAAAGACAATAAATGATGCAAAGCTTAATTATGAAGTTCATAATAAGAAAATGCTAGTAGTAGTTCAGATCTTACAAGAATGACAGACAGAGCTTGAGAAACTATAATAGAAGAAATGATTCAAGATTCTCACTAATTATCATGTACTAAAATACTTTATAACTATCAAAAAGCTGAATGCACATCAAGTCTGCTAGGCAGAGTTTCTCTCTCATTTCTACTTTGAGATCAAGTATCAACTAGGCAAGACCAATCTGCTAGCAGATGCACTGAGCAGGTCTGAGCAGGTCAGAAGGCAACAGAATAGCTGTATGCAGATTCTTCAAAAATCAGAGACTCTCAATTCTCAAATTACTTCCTCTACAGATATTGCTAGCATCAACTTCTCAGAGAAAGAGAGCATTGCTGAATATATGATGTCTTTAAACAAGACTGTCATCTTAATCAAGTCTCTACAGCAGTAGGCAGATGATGAAAATAGTCTCTATACAATGAAGGACAATGTGCTATGATATAATGAAAGACTAGTGATGTCTATTCAGAAAAAGAAAACTCTGATAGTTAAACTACTACAGAAAATTCATAATCAAGCTTCAACAGCATATTCTGAAGAATGAAAGACTCTGACTCTGATACAATCACACTATTAATGAGTCATCTGGTAGACAAATATTCTACACTACATTCAAAACTATCATATGTATCAGATCAGTAAAATTCTAAGTGATAAGACTTCTGATTTACTAAAGTCATTATCAATATCAGAACAGACATAGCAGTATATTGCAATTGACTTCATGGACATGCTGAAAAGCAAAACAGACTATGATGTTATTTTGATCATAGTATGCTGGCTAAGCAAGAAGGTAATCTTCATTTTAATCATCTGAGAAGTTACAGCTCAGGAGCTAGTCTGACTATTCATTCAATTCTACTATTCATATAATGAGGCGCCTGACTCAATTGTCTCTGACTGAGATCCTCAGTTCATATTAAGCTTTTGAGATGAGTTTACATATATTCTGAGTATAAAACTGAAACTCTCAATGACATATCATACACAAACTGATGGACAGACAGAAGTGATGAATCAATATATTACCACTCATCTTTACCTCTATGTCAGTTACTATCAAGATGACTGAGATGAGTGGCTACTCATTATAGATCATGCCTTCATAGCTATCTCAAATGCTTTCACAGAGATCTTTCTCTTTCTTGCAGCAAATGAATATGAACTTTGAATGTCATTTGACTAGCAATCACTGATAAAGAAATTGAATATGAATGAGAAAAAAAATCAAGTAGCAGCAAGAAGCTTCATTTATCAAATAAAAGAAATCTGAAATCAGACAAGTAAAGACATAAGAACAGCACAGGAACAGATGAAGAGACAGACTAACAAGTATTATTGAGAGTCTGATTTTGCAGTAGAAGATTTTGTTTATCTAACATTGAAATCATATAAGATGAATTGATTAAGCTGTAAACTGACAAAGCAGAAAACTGGCAGAGCAGAACACTAACCCCTTCAGAATCCTGGAAAAGATGAGCAATGTCTACAAACTGAACCTCCTTGCAACAATGAAGATTCATTCAATCTTCTCTCTAGACAAGCTACACAAGGACTCCAGAGACCCTCTACCTGGCCAGACTATCAGATCACCAGACCCAATTGAAATAGATGATGAGAATGAATGGCAAATAGATTGTATACTGGCCAGTCAAATAAGCTGGAGCAAGCTGCAGTATCAGGTGCACTAAAAGGGGTTTGATGAGGATTCTTCATGGTACCCCACTCACGACTTCAAAGGATCACCACATGCCATATGTGACTTCCATAAGATTAACCCTACAAAAGCCGGACCCCCAAGGCGACTAGATGAGTGGCTGAAGGCATGGGAGACAGACAGCTACCTGAAGGATGAGGTTGATGATGACCTACCGGCATGAGGACATGCCTGTCCCTAGACCAGGGGGTGATGTTAGACTCAGCGTCCGACCGAGCCCGACCAAAGGCCGGTGCCCGGTTAGACTCGACGTCGGATTAAGCTCGGCGCCCGATTAGGCCTAATCCATATCACGTGACCATACGACCATGCGGGTGGTTATAATCCACGCAGGCCCCAGCACCCCCTTTCATCCCATCAAGCTTAGTATTTCGTTATATAGCAGTTAGCAACGCAGAGAGTCTTTCTTCTTATGCAGCTCGCATTCACTCTATAACACTGGGGTTATTTCTAAGCAGGGATTTCTGTGATATGATTGCTGATGTTTTTGCTACATTAGTGTTATTTGCAGCTATCTTTGCATAGATAGGAGCTCTTGCATCAGTTGCATCAGTGGAGTCAGTAGACTTGATTGTGATGGACTGCTTTGCTGTTTCTAGACTTTCATTGTATCAGTCCTTGACTAATGCCTTCATGATGACTTCAAGGGCCAGTGCTCTTGATAGATCTTTTGCCTTCATGCCATCTAAGTCTTCTTCAATCTAATCAAACATATTTGCAGCAGCTAGTGCTTCTGCATTTTCTGTGCCTCAGTCTCATAGACAGCTATGAGCTCAGTAGCCATTGAGTCATGTAGGTTGAGATGTATTGATGTGACATTTATGCTCTTTGAGCTGTCTGCTGGTGTAGAGAAGCTTGAAGACTCTATGTCATTCAGTTCACATGTGCAGTGAGTGATTAAGATGAAGAGATAAGGTCTCTTGAGTGGTCAGCATATGGGGGAGCAAATGCATGTCAAGGCTCAGGATGCATTAGATGTTGTTGAGGGGCTGGGTACACTGGCAGTGCTATGTTGGCACACCATCAGACTTGCTGCCTGAGGGGATGGGAGGGAGCTTATAGGGATGTGATCAAGATCAATTAAGACATTTTCATAGTTTTTTTTTTTTTTTTGTGTGTGTACATATATTTCAACCACTTTCTACGGAGTAAGGTGTCGATGTTGTGTGCGTGATTTTGTTATAGAATTGGTAGCTGCTCACTGTATAGCCACAATTGATTCCAGATCACATGTGCAGGTGTTCATGTGACACAGGTGTTAAATAATCTATCTCTCCCTTTTTGAGTTAGTGAGCCACAGCTGCGTCTGCCTTGGGAATGGATATTTGCCGGCTGCCAATCATCTTCCGTTAATCTAGACATATGATGACAAAGCAACCTTGAAACAACGTCCGCCCTTAAACCATTATTCTCAACTTGTTTGTGTATTCATTTCCCTCCGTACCTCCGCACATTCCCCGCTCTTCTGCTTCTCTCATCTCTTCTTCAGTCTTCCACACTGCCCCTTGCCATCTGCCGCCTACTTGCTCTGCTCTGTTCGTTTGTTCGTTCCGTCTTTTTCTTGCTCCTCTGTTGCATATCTTTATCTGCGCTTGCTCTCTCTTTAGCGCCTTACCAAATGTATCTTCGTATCTCGACCTTTCTTTTGTCTAGACCTTGCTGACCTCATATCCCCTCCCATCCTTCCTTCAGGCTTCTCTAGTTCTGAATGGTACATCTTATTGGTTTCATACGATTGTATTCCCATGCACAAGACTATCTTGTCTCTCCCTAGCGTTACCTTGAAACAACAGGTACTCTTTGTTTTAGACGACCGGGACCATACCATCCCATATCTTACCACCAACGTCGCACGGTCCTCAGTGAATTGATTGAATTAGTGACGTGACATTTTTGGAATCAAGTATTGTCCGCGCTTCTTCAAGTTGACTGCTCTACTCCTCTCCGACCATGAGGCGTCCGGGCGGACTGGCTTCTAAGCCATTCATCCTATTCGTGCTGTTTTTTTGTCTGCTACTTTTAACCAGTCAAGTGGCAGCCCAACAGACCACAAACGAACCATCTGGTGATTCAAGGCCTGGTAATACAAGAACAGAGAATCCCAACCCAGATAATACAGGCGCGAATAGTCCAAAGCCTGAAGAGACAACAAATGCTCCAAATCCAAATCCCACCCCGGTTTCTACAACAGAAGGCAGCACAGGAGCCAGCACAGGAGCCAGCACAGAAGCCAGCACAGAAGCCAACACGTCACCACAGACTGAGACCCCCAAGGACACAGAAACAGTTGTCCTTCCAACAATTTCATCAGAGGCTAGTAGCACTACGAGCAGCTCCAATCCCACAGAAACAAACACTTCTGACCTTTCTTCTATGAGCATGCCTCCGCTATTCCCAACACCTACACCTCAAGTACCCCCATCAGAAGGAGCCCCATATCTCCATAGGTCAGGTTTACCGGAGAACACGATTTTCATAGCAGTGGGTGCCGCGCTTGGCGTATTTGGTGTCGCAGTTTTTGCATGGAGAGCTCTGGTGGCTTGGTCAATTAACCGCTCGGTCCGTCGCGCTGCCATCCGTCCAAACAACACAGATGCCACTGCTCTCCTCAACAAGCGGAAGTCTGGCATCTATCGCCAGCCACCCGGAGCAGCCATGTCGATGGAGAAATTGGGCACCAATGTACGCCATTCTACCTTGGGCCCAAGAAACCATACACCAAACTCCAGTCTCTTCTTTTCTCCAACTGCAGGTGCGGGCATGCATTCTTCTGGAAACAAAGGATCTGGCTACCTCCCCGCAGGCTATTATGCTGCCGGCTCTACTGTTCCTGGAGGCGGACCGGGGCTGGCGCACGCTGGACAATCAATAGGGCTATCGCCTCTAGGCCCCCAGGCACAGGGTTACTCCCGCACAAGATCTTCGGCTCCTAGCCCGCCCGCCTCACCCA